TTTTCCCATAACTCCCCTTCTCCCAGTTCCCGCCCCACCCTCCGCCCTCACTCCCCACCCACTGTCCTCATCCATAGGTGCACGATTTTTGTCCATTCTCTTCCCGCATCTCCCATTCCCCTCCCCCCCCCCCCCAAGAATAGTCAGTCCATTCCCCTTCTATGTCCCTGATTCATTGTAATCACCAGTTCATTCTGTACATCAGATTATTTATTCACTTGATTCTTAGATTCACTTGTTGATAGATGCATGTTTGTGGTTCACAATTTGTATCTTTACCTTTTTCTTCTTCCTCTTCTTAAAGGAAACCTTTCAGCATTTCGTATAATACTGGTTTAGTGGTGATGAAGTCCTTTAGCTTTTCCTTATCTGTGAAGCTCTTTATCTGACCTTCAATTCTGAATGATAGCTTTGCTGGATAAAGTAATCTTGGTTGTAGGTTCTTGGTATTCAGTACTTTGAATATTTCTTGCCATTCCCTTCTGGCCTGCAAAGTTTCTGTTGAGAAATCAGCTGATAGTCGTATGGGTATTCCCTTGTAGGTAATTGAGTCTCTTTCTCTTGCTGCTTTTAAGATTCTCTCTTTGTCTTTTGCTCTTGGCATTTTAATGATGATGTGTCTTGGTGTGGTCCTCTTTGGATTCCTTTTGTTTGGGGTTCTCTGCGCTTCTTGGACCTGTAAGTCCATTTCTTTCACCAGGTGGGGGAAGTTTTCTGCCATTATTTCTTCAAATAGGTTTTCAATATCTTGCTGTCTCTCATCTTCTGGCACGCCTATTATTCTGATATTAGTGCGCTTGAAGCTGTCCCAGAGGCTCCTTACACTATCTTCGTATTTTCGGATTCTTTTTTCATTTTGCTTTTCTGGTTGGGTGTTTTTTGCTTCTTCGTATTTCAAATCTTTGACTTGATTCTTGCGCTCCTCTGGTCTGCTATTGGGTATAATATTCTTTATTTCAGTCCGTGTATGCTTAATTTCTAGTTTCTTTATTGTAGCATCGAGGGTCTCATTAGTTTTCGTGAGGCTCTCCTCGAGTTTTTTGCAAACCCTCAAAATTGCGATTTTTAGCTCCATATCCTCCATTTCTGTCATGTTTTTTTGTCTCCGCATTTTTTATGCCTTCTTGGTGCACCCCCTTGTGGTCTTTGTGCGCAGTCTTGTTCTAGTTAAGCCCAGATTGTTGTAGTTAATACTAGAGGGATTTGACCACCAGGCTGACTGGCTGCGAGAATCAGCTGTGTGGAAAACTTCTGTCCTCTGGGAGGTGCTAATCTAGCCTTTGCCTGAGGCGATCCGGCAAATGGCTCTGCGCAGGGCTTGGGCGGGGCGGGATCAACAGGGCGGGCGGAGGGAGCAGTTATGGCCGCTCTCAGTCCCGTTCCCAGAGGCTCTGCTTCTCAGAACCCCGGCAGCCGTTGCAAACCTCGGAGAGAAAGCTGCCCTCAGGTTCCAACTGATGCCAGATAATCCCGCTTCTCCAGTCTGAGTCTGGGTCCCTAGAGACTCGCCCGGATCTGGAGCCCAGAGTCTGAGACTCACTCCCGACCGAAAACGACAACCGCGCCCTCAGCCACCAGCCCGCTTTCGCGCGCACCTCGGTACCTTTGTATTTTCCACACTGCGCCTCCTCTGAGCCTCCTCTGCGTTGTCTTTCCTTCTAGTTGTAGAGTCTCTCTTCAGCCAGCCTTCCTGTGGTTCTGGGTGATGTCCGTTCCGTCTTTTAGTTGTATTTTTGAAATGGTTGTTTGCGGCAGCGGTCTCCGGTGTTTACCTACGCCGCCATCTTGGTCCCGCCTCTCAGGTTACTTGCTTTACTAGCCAAATGTAACCATCAAATGAGATCTTTTACATCAAAGTAGCAGGAAAAGATTTTGTAAGTACTTCTTGTGTTTTGTGTTACATTTACATTTGTTATGAAGGAACTAATTTTCATTTATACTTAGGATACTTTGGGGGAATTTTTCTGTAGACTAAATAGAATTTACTAAAAATCTTGAAGAGTAAAGCATGATCCCAAATTATTTCTAACTTCTGGAATTTTTATTTTTTTTATTTTGGTCTCAAGATATTTTATCAACCCTTGGACTTTGAGCATTTCAGTATAATGATAATATGCTGTAGTTCTGCATCATTTCTCAACATCAAGATTTTCCTAGTTTAACTGCTAGTAAAAAATAGGATTTAATTGTCCCTCTAGAGCAGGGGTGGGGAACCTTTTTTCTGCCAAGGGCCATTTGAATATTTATAACATCATTCGCAGGCCATACAAAATTATCAACTTAAAAGTTATGTTGCTATGGAAAAAGCTCCTAGATTGATTGAATTTTGAGTCCTGCCTGCAGTTGCCTTGGCAGGGCCAGACCAAATGATAAGGCTGGGCCTGCAGGCCAGATGTTCCTCACCCCTGCTGTAGAGTATGCTGCTGGTTTTCTTTAATCCTCAGGAGTAGTGTTGTGATCCTGCTGTGCTTAAAAAACACAAATAGAGGTTTTAAAAAGATGATGATCAATAACTCTGACAAGACTAAAGGTGCTCATTAGAATCAGGAGTTGGCCCTGGCAGGTGTGTCTTAGTTGGTTGAGTGTCCTCCCATGCACCAAAAGGTTGCTGGATCCCCAATAGGGGACGTGCAGGAGACAGCTGATCTATGTTTCTCTCCTCCCTTCCTCTCTTTCTAAAATCAATAAAAACATATTTTAAAATAAACTTCAAAAAAAGAAAAGAATCAAGAGATATTACCAGTAATGCAACCCCAGCTACCTGTAAACTGAGCCATGTAATTTAAGGAAAGAGATATTTTTCAAACAAATATTATAAAATAAAAATGGCAATACCTATTCCATGTAGCTCTTTTAAAAATGTATAAGTAATCTCGCACTAACATATGTGCCTCCAACCCTGTGATTTTATTTGTATGTTGGGCAACAGACTCAAGCTCTAGTTAGCTTGAGACCAAGCCTAAGAGCTGGGCCAGCACATCCCATGGAGCTCAGTACAGGTTGGAGAAAAAGTGTTGGCCTGGAAGTGTGGCCTTTTGTGGCAATTCCATCAGTCTCATGACCCAGTATTGGCAGGTACTGAGCATCTCACATTCATTTCATACTGGGCAGCATCTTTCTTTGCCTTGTTCTGAATGGTATTGATGTGGAGTCTAGCTAAATGTCTTCCCAAGTTTCTCATTTATACTGAGGTTCGAAAGGTGTTTATTTCTGCAAAGAAAAAAAGGGGCTAGTATTTTTCTTCCTCCAACATCACCTTTATATCTTCAGAAGAAAAATATCTTCGACTGAGTAAGGCACCCCTTAACTTCTAATAAGCACTATTCTCACCATTTTTTCTTCCTTTCAAACATCAGCTGCTGCTGACTACCGAGCCTTCTCTCAGTTGAGTAGACTTTGTCCTCAGGAGAAGGGAGAAAAGGTTAAATGAAAGAGAGAAGCAGCAGGTTTCTGTCCCCTACCGGGACCAGAGAACAAGCAAACCAATGTTCATCGTCTAGTCTGTTCAGGTGCTTTTTATTTTTCTCCCCATTTTCAATATTTCTTACCCCAGCTTGTTTTCCCTCTCAACCATGGTGCACTCCAATTTTACATAAACCAGGACCTAGAACAGCCTGTTTAGATTCCAGTGCAGTTGTAGGACTCTTGCTTTTTTATTGTGTTTCTTTACTTGAGCCTCAGTTCCTCATCTTGCTAACATCCATGCTTTTCTTTATCAAAGTTGTTTTTCAAAAAAATATGTTTTCCTTCATTTTACAGTGAGAGAATGACAGAGGGAGAGAGAGAGAAACATCAATATGAGAGAAAAACATTGATCAGCTACCTTCTGCACACCCCCACTGGGGACCAAGCCCAAAACCTGGGCATCAAACTGGCAGCTATTTGGTGCACGGGGCGATGCTCAACCAACTGGGCCACACCAGCCAGGGCTGTTTATCAAAATTTTTGATAAGTTAAGTTTTTATTCTTGAGAGACCCTGCCCTTACCCCCACTACCTTTTAAACTGAGCATTTTAGAATAATTGTTTCTTGTCCTAGTCCTTCAGTTTTCCTGTATCATTAACCATCTGTTATTGAGCTATCAGAGGGAATGACCAAAAACTAGTACCAGCCCTAGCTGGTTTGGCTTAGTGGATAGAGCATCGGCCTAGGGCCTGAAGGGTCCTGGGTTCGATTCCAGTCAAGGGCACATGCCCAGATAGTGGGCTTGATCCCCAGTAGGGGGTGTGCAAAAGGCAGCCAATCAATTATTGTCTCTCATCAATGATGTTTCTAGCTCTCTCTCCCTCTCTCCCTTCCTCTCTGAAATCAATAAAAATATATTTAAAAAACAATAACAACAAAAACTAGTACCATGTTGGCACATACCTCCTTCGAGGACAACCCCTTACCCTGCCCACCACCAGTAGGTACGAACACACGATTTAAAAAGAGTGTTAGCCTGGCCAGTGTGGCTCAGTGGTTAAGTGTCAACCCAGGAACCAAGAGGTTGCCAGTTGGATTCCTAGTCAGGGCACATGTCTGGGTTGTGGGCTCAATCCCCAGTAGGGGTGCATGCAAGAAAGCACTGAAAGTCAAATGTCCAGGTTTCTTCTAAGAGCTGCTAAGTGAGAGGGTGGGATTTGGGCAGAGCTCTAAAATAAGGCTCTCTCCTATTACATATCCTCAATTACAATGTTAGTTTTTATTTTTGTCTTTGTGGAATCTACTAGTAAAACTATTTTAATCATGTTAATATACAGCTACAGCTTCACAAGAGAAGATTGGCATTTGCCTAAAGGAGATTTTGTGAAGATTTGATTGGTCTGAAAGAGAGGTTTAGTAGCTGATGGATTAGGTCATGGAGAGGGGGATTCTCTATTTTTTCTCTTTTTTAAAAGTATAATTTAAAAATAATGCATTCTCGGGTTACCTATGGAAAGCTGAAGTATTCTCTTGCTGAAATTGAGCAATCTAATTCTCTATTGCTTAATTTATGTCATGTTATCATTTATTTTTAGGCACCAAAGGAAGAAATAAAGGAGAGTTTACAAATCTTCAAGGGGTAGCTGCATCTACAAGTGGGAAGATATTAATTGCAGATAGTAACAACCAGTGTGTGCAGGTATGGCCCCTGATTGTATACCTTTGACCCCTGGTGGTGATAAAATAGGTACAGTTGTATATTTTTCTTCTTAAGACTTGAGGTACTTGGTACCAGGGAAGATTATAATGTGTGCATAGACTTCCCTTCAAATGGAACTTGCAGGTTCTGACCTGCAGTGCAGATGACAGAGTTTCTGGCCTATTTCTTCGTCACTCATTTCTGTACGAATTCTCATTCTAATGACTGTAATTTGTTTTACAGATATTCTCCAATGATGGCCAGTTCAAAAGTCGTTTTGGCATACGAGGACGCTCCCCTGGGCAGCTGCAGCGGCCCACAGGGGTGGCTGTGCATCCCAGTGGGGACATCATTATTGCAGATTACGATAATAAATGGGTTAGCATTTTCTCTTCAGATGGGAAGTTCAAGGTAAGATTAACTACTGATTAACCACTAAACAGTAGAGAGAAGGAATGGGAAATATAAAATGAAATTGTCTTTTTTCCTTTCTGAGATCCAATAAAATATTCAATACTTCTTCATATACAAAGACATCTTGACTGTTTTACATCTAAGTTTTATGAAGTGAGAGTAACAATGATATTGTCATAAATCTCCTATGTATCCTACATGTGGCTTCATTTTATAAAGCAGTTAGGTTACCCAGTCAATTTTTGTTTATATACTAGGTTTAAGGGTTAGTAAGAGGCAACTTATATTTTCAAAAATAACCTACAAATTGTCATTGATGAAGTGCCTTCTACTTTCCCAGACCTGTGATAGGTAGATGTGAGAAACAGAATTATAAGACACAATCCCTACCTTTTAGAAATATACAAGCCCAATACACAAGAAAAAAAGACCAATACACAAGAAATGACAAAAAAAAATTCATGTTAGTCTTTATTCGGTCATACCATGTTTGGTACAATCTACAAATAGAGTGTTAACATATAGAATATAAGGACTAGAAAGAAAAGAAAATGAAGGCTGGCTTCATGGAGAAAATACAAATTGAGCTGCACTTTGAGGGATCCCATCATTTGACATATCTGCTCTCACTCCCGGCATCATTTCTGTTTCTTGGGCAAGTCACCTTAAAGAGCTCTCTGTTGATAACTGAAATCTTTACCCTAAGGTGCCATCAAAGAGTATTATCCCATTTTCCGCACTGTTCCCAAGAAGATTATGAGACACTTTGTCAAAGGTGTTTTTGAAAGCCATCTCTATCCCCCGACCGGCCTACAGGCTTCTTTTTCAGTTGACAATACGGACTTTAACTCAGACAGACCAACTCATTGGTATCCCACCTCTGGGGCTTAGTAACTGTTTGGCCTTTGGCCAATTATGTAACTTCCTTGAGCCTTGATTGCCTCATACTTCCATTTTGCATTTGGGATTTGGGTATCAATTAAATGAGATTTTATTTCTGGATCTTATATGTGCCTCATATGAAAAAGTCATCAAGGGAACATTCATCACCGATGCTTTTAGGAACCTTGTCCAAAACCTGAAGTCTGTTCAGTTAGCCATGATTTGGGTTTCATGGCTTCATGCCGGTTCCTGGTGGTCATCCCTTCCTTGTCTAAATGTTCAGAGCTGATGCTCTTCATAATCCAACTGGGATCCTGAAGATTGCATGACGTTCACCCATTGGTCTCCATTGGAGAAATTTATATTTTCCTTTTTAAAGTTGTTAGATCACTACAGTCATAGCATTTTTATTAAATAGGTTACATAATTATTAATCTTCAGATTGGAGCCTCTATTTGTGTGGGCAGCATCTTTGCAACCTAGGAAAATTAAAAACTATTGTTTTAAGTCTACCATATTGCACACAAGTCTTCAATTACCTTTGATTTTTTTTTTTTTTTGCCCCACTAGTAATGTAATGGCTTTGTATGATGGCCATGTACACAGAACGGTCTCTTGCCTTTCTATATCTCTAACTTCCCTCCTTTTGTGTTTTCATAATTGTATTTGTAGTATGCCATACCCAAATATGACAATAGAATAAAAGCTATTCAGTGACTTCTTGAAAATATCTATCTAGTTTGGAGACGACCCATAGTTTTTTTTCAAACTACAGCAAATCCATAAATTTTTTTAAATTTATGAATCTTTTAAAATTCAGAATTAAATACACTAAGATAGGTATTGAAATAGGAGTTTTATATATATTATATTAGAATATTTTACATCTACTATATTAAAACATTGAAACAGAAGAGAGAAGGGTTTCCTGAATTAAACATTTTTTTTACTCAGTGGTTCAATATTCTATATGCAATAGACACTCTCCTGGAAGAATTGGATTCTCATGGTTGGAATACTATTGATAATAATTAGAATAAACACTGAAGAACACTCATGCCCCCTAGAGGATTTGGGAATGGACATGGTGTCATTTCAACATACCATCCCCAACCCCTTTTGTTTACAATAGATCTTAAACATCTTTACTTACTATTCTGTTTAAGATGGGAGACACATTGTCAGGTCAAATTCTGTAATTCTTACTTCACTTGGTAGAATCTAATACAGCTAAACTAGGATTGAAGGGAAGTGGAAGGAAAAGAGGTTTTGGTTCAACATTTAAGTTTTTTCTTTTAGATCTGCACTAACTAGTTCTTAACTACATGATAGTATGGCAGTAATCCTTTACTTTCTGTTTTTAAGTGGCGAAATTATCATCCACTTGGTATTATTATATGCCTGGGTCATTCTAAGTAACAACTAGTGTTTATAACGTTAGGTGCTAATAGTATTCTTGTTTTAATAATCAGAGTCTTCTCTCTTTTGATCTCTACTGACATATCTTCTATTCATACATGAAAGAAAGTACACAATTTCTTTATAAGCTGTTTTGTTATCGTGTCTTTGATCTTTGGGCTAAATGCAGAATCAGAATCAAATTTATATGACATTCCCTTGCCAGAATGCCATTGTTTCCTTCCTAAGTAAATGCATGTCTTTTTTTCTAAAGAGATCAGTTCTGAATCTCAGTCATTTATAAACTTCCAAGGATTAAAGGTTATACAAAGTCTGAACCCCTGCTATGGGAAAGTCCCAATCCTTCTTTTCATACTCTTTCTTTGCCCATATCTTCATGTCTGTTAGGAAAGAAGATAGTCCTGTGGGTCGGCTATGATACCAGCTGAGTAGGATGAGGGAGAAGATTATCCTTATGCCATATGCTGTGGTTGACATTGTCCTTTATCCTTCAGAATCTGCATGACCCAGGAAGTAGATAACATAGTTGCCATTTTGCAGATGAGAAAACTGAGGTTCAAACTGATGAAAGAGCCCTGACCAGTTTGGCTCAGTGGATAGAGGGTCGGCCTGCGGACTGAAAGGTCCCAGGCTTGATTCCGGCCAAGAGCATGTACCTTGGTTGCGGGCACATCCCCAGTAGGAGGTGTGCAAGAGGCAGCTGATCGATGTTTCTCTCTCATCGATGTTTCTAACTCTCTATCCCTCTCTCTTCCTCTCTGTGAAAAATCAATAAAATATATTAGAAAAAAACTGATGAAAGAATGAATGAATTTTGCTGTGAAATTTTGATCCTGGTTAACTGGATGAACGGTGGTGTCAAAGGAATTAGAAAATCAGGAAGTGCTAGATTGGGGTTTCTTTTCATTTTTTTAATGGTGGAAATGAAGAAGATAAGTTTGGTTTTACATTGGTTGAGTTTAAGGTGAAACTTGTAAAATAGGCCAAACCGGCCAGGGTGCCACACTGCCTCTTTAGAAGCGAACTGTGACCCCCAGTTAAGGTAATTCCAGAATGTTTTTGGTGGTGATCCCTTTTTAAAAAAACAAGGATTTCAAATAAATATCAATAGCAGATAATAGATGTGACAAAAACAACTTCCCAGGACAGAGATCATTGTGACATGAGTCACTGGGTCTGCTGCCTGAACATTCAGGTGAAGGTTTACTAAGAAAAATGTCTGCCTTTGTGTTCTGTATAGTGTTTTAATCTTCTCCGCTGTACTTGCTTCTCACAGACAAAAATCGGATCGGGAAAACTGATGGGACCCAAAGGGGTGTCTGTGGACCGCAACGGGCACATCATCGTGGTGGATAACAAGGCGTGCTGCGTGTTTATCTTCCAGCCAAACGGGAAGATAGTCACCAGGTTTGGTAGCCGAGGAAATGGGGACAGGCAGTTTGCAGGTACACTCGACGGTAATATGTAAACCCCCTTTTTTATGCCGCTTCTGCTCACATTTGCATGATGTCGGAGCATGTTGAAGACGCCTCACCCCCAGTATGTTTTCTGGCTTTTGGAAAGATACTGGGGATGAAATCTAAGCAAAAAGCATGGTTCGGTGCTTCTCACTGATGCCCCCCACAGTAAGTTGAACTGTCATCCATGCGTGGTTTTGACTGGTGGCACTTCACAATTCAGAAGTCTAATTGTCGACTGTTAGTAGTAAATAAAATATATATTTTACAATAAAATATTTTTAAATAAGAATGTATTTAGGAACAGTGGAGTCACTCCTGTCTCCACCTAGCTGTAGCTTTATTTAAAGAGCCTCAGAATGAGAATTTTTCCATCTTGTTAAAAGGTGATGATGACAGAGCAGATGTCCAGAGCATTTGCCTCGTATGGGAACGGCAGTCTCTTTAATTTCTCTCTGGTTCACCACTTTGCAGTCACAAGCTTACTTTAGTTTTTCATATCTGCGAGAAGAGGCTGAAAGCAGTTTGCCAAATTTCCTTCTTGCAAGGATGTTTTTGGCACTTAACCTTAATTTGCATAATCTTTCTTTATGCTTTGTCTCCAGTTCTGCCAGATTCTGAATGTCACCCAAAATTATAGAATGTGGGTTTTCTGCTCTACTTTATAAAAAATCGTATATGTTGGAGTCTTTTTTTCTCCAAGCTGAGAGTTACCATGCCTTTCCTCAGCGGGAATAGAAGACCCTAAAATGACTAATACGTGCTCAGGCAAGCTGGCAGCTGTGACGTTCAGATGGTGGTTCGGAGAATGAATTCTGATGCTTATTGCTCATCCCTTCTCATTAGGGCTGCGAACTCTTAGCTGAATCTGGAAGGAGTCAGAGTAGACAGTCACAGGTGTAGAGTGATAGAGATTCCATGTTATCTGGAGCCAGAGGTCTGGCTGAATTATCTTTCAAGGACTGAGGCTCACCGTCTTTGTTCTTTCTTAAGTAACTAAGTAATATATTGTTTCACAACTGCTATGTTGTCATAATCATTTTTTGTTGTTATGGTCATCTCATATTTTTTTCATCTTTATTGCAGGTCCCCATTTTGCAGCTGTAAATAGCAATAATGAAATTATTGTTACAGATTTCCATAACCATTCTGTCAAGGTACTATAAACATATCAATTGTTGTTACCTTTTAACTGCTTTGATTGAGAAATCCGTCTGGGAGAAAATAATGTAATGCTCACATATGTACATAGGACCCAAAGGAGTTAACCTAAAAGAGCAGATTTTTGCTTCTCCTTAAAGATGCAGGTTTTAATTTGGACATATACACTTTGGAGAGACAGAAAATTGAACAAAATATGGTGGCAATAAGTTTCTTAATTTGAAATTATGTACATGGAGACAACTTGGAAATTAAATTTGAAAAAGCAATTGCTTGAACTTCAAGAGGCAGAACTTTCTGAAACTTAATATTTCATGGCTATTCAATAATTAAAACAAAACCACTTTTTCTATTTTCTGCATCATAAGGCCTTTCAAACAAAATTAGATATTAGAACTCTGCCACAACAAAAGATTTTGGGAGGGAAATAGCCTTAGTGTACATTCATATAGCATGTTTCATGCTTCTTAGAATGCTTTCACACAACTGATGTTCCGAAGAAAACATTGCCCACTCCTGTTCCCCAAATAGTATAGTACATCTTTCTTCTTCTTTTTTTAAAAAAATATTTTTTTATTGATTTCAGAGAGGAAGGGAGAGGGAGAAAGAGATAGAAACATCAATGATGAGAGTGTATCACTGATTGGCTGCCTCCTGCACGCCCCCCTCTGGGGACTGAGCCTACAACCTGGGCATGTACCCTGACTGGGAATCGAACTGTGACCTCCTGATTCACAGGTCCACACTCAACCACTGAGCCACACTGGTCAGTCAGGCCTGGTCTCTCTCTTTTTTTTCTCTTCTCTTTCATAGCCGTTGCCATGTAGCTTTTATGGATAGCTGGAGTTTTTTGTTTGTTTCCCATATAGCACAGAGCAGTTAGCAATAGTTCTGGATTCAGGTCACATCTCTTGATAAATGTAAAAATTATACCTATAGGTCAGGGCTAACAAGTGGTCTGGTTCATTCTTTACCTGTCTTCATTATATATTTTCTTTTGGTGGCAAAACAAGTAAGACTAGATTTGGCATTCTCCATCATTCCAAGACAAAGCAGAAGTACCTGAGCCATTTGGAGTACGCCCAGGAAAACATTCTGACTCAGAGATGATGCAAACAGGCCAACAAAAGGTTATTTGTAGGACCTAAGAGAGAGCAGAGAATAATAAATTGCCTTCTTATGAGCATACTAACACTTCCATTGGTCTTTAAAGCTGGAATGCTTTATGTGAAAGGAGATAAAAAGAGTCAGGAGAGACTTTTAAAACATGGTATCTTAGTAAAAGCTAGTTCTTGTCTGTGTCCTTTTCAAAGAACCAAAGAGGTAACTTGCTTACTTGGCAAGCAATTAATTCAGGAAGTGGTCAAGACTTTTTTTTCAAATCTTAAAGTAAGTTTCGACTTTAGAGATGGAAGTATCTCACTTTCTCAAGGTAGGTAAGTAAAAGAGAGCCATTTCCTGGTCACAGAGATGGCGAAAGGAGAATCTCTAAGAGGTCCTGAGATCTTCCTCAAATTAGATCTGCACTTAGATGTAGTGAACTTCCTCAGTTTCATATTTCAGGAACCCTTACTCTCTTGGTGCCTTGGGGGTAATACCTTTGGATTATTAATGAGTATTTCCACACTGGTAGACTGCATAATAATGAAAGCTTAAAATAATATCCTTGCCTCAGTGGTTGAGCATTGACCTAGGAACCAGGAGGTCATGGTTCGATTCCTGGTCAGGGCACATGCCCCGGTTTCAGGCTCAATCCTCAGTAGGGGGCGTGCAGGAGGCAGCCGATTCATGATTCTCTCTCATCATTGATGTTTCTCTCTCTCCTTTCCTCTCTGATATTAATAAAGACATATATTTTTAAAATAATAATATCCTGGAGACATTTCAAAACCATTAAGTATCTTCTGAATCATCAAGATAAAATTATGCTTACAATAGTCTTATCATTAAACACATATTCTCTCAAAATCAGTAAGCTGTATTTGATACTTATACAGTCACACTCTAGTAATAAGAATGTTTAATTAACCACAACAACCCATTGCTTGCCCATATCAGATTAGAGAATTTGCTTAAGAGTTCTGTTCAGTTCCCAATTCTGTCATTCTCCCTTCTCTCAGTAGTCTCAGGGTCATATAAACTCTCTATTTTAACTAAAATATATTCTGAAAAAAATATATTAAAAAGCCTTTTTTTATTTCTCACCTTCTACTCTCTCTCTCTCTCTCTCGCACACACACACATACTCACTCACTCTCACACAATTTTCCCTGTTATAATTGTGAAATCCAGCCTATTCTTTCTTGTTACGTTGACTTAGTAAAATGGTAATAAATTCTGAGCATCTGGCCTAACAAAAAGCTCCTACTTTCTGACCCAACTTTGAATCATCATCTATCCTGTTAGAAATACAATGCTTATTCTTAAAATGTAGCTATTTATTTAAAGGCAGAAAGATTAATATTGTTGAAAATTATAGCTCTACTTTCTCGTACTACCTTATATTTGTGTATATTTGATAGTTTATAATGGAAGTATTTTTCATGTAAGTATTCAATAACCAGATAAAAGCTAGAAAAAAAGAACTGATTTAAGAAATGATAAATCAGATTTATACAGTAAATTGGGAAACCACAAGTGCAGTGGGAGTCTAGTTTGTAGATTTTTTTAAAAGAATGTCTTAAATTATAGGTCTTGTTATAAATAACCTGCTCAGATAGATATTTTAAAATCCATAATGTTGGCTCAACTATTTTCATTTGAAATGAAATAATTTTAAAATATTTATACAGGTGTTTAATCAGGAAGGAGAATTCATGTTGAAGTTTGGCTCAAATGGAGAAGGAAATGGACAGTTTAATGCTCCAACGGGGGTAGCTGTGGATTCAAATGGAAACATCATTGTAGCCGACTGGGGAAACAGCAGGATCCAGGTAGATTAAAGTACATATTCTCTCAAAATCAGTACATATGTGATTAAAGTGCTGATTTATTTGTGTTGAGTGATTGGTATTTGTTAACAGTGGAGGATTAACTGTCCCCAGACCTTAATGTTTTTCACTTTCATTGGTTAGGTCATAAGACCATAGATAATCTCACAAGACTAAGGAAGGTGGAGATGAAAAATACCAACATATTACCAGAGTGAAACCCTCTAAATCAGGTGTTTTTAATACATATCCCACAGACCCCCAAAGGGTTTGTAGATAGAATTCATGAGGTCCATTGAACAAAAATATCATATTATTGTTCTTACTAACTTCTAATTAAAAATTATCATTTACTTTCAGTAAATATAGGCAATAATCACAGTCGTTTTTGTAATATCTATAACTTTGTCACCAAGAGAAATCACAGAAATTTTCTTGTTACAGTTGCAGACATCTCGAATTATCATTTATGCTCATTCAAAATTGTAGTTATTAGTAGGCCCATCACTATTTCTTGTTATTTAATGTATTAGTTTAAAAAGCACACATATTACTATAATTAAAATTTTGTAATATTTTTATTATATTTTAATAGGATTGTTTTCCTTCATAATACCACATATTTTCTTTAATGTTTTGCTAAATAACCTGAACCAAAGAGGAAATCTGAAGGAAAATTTTAAAATATACTGACTGAATGAAAATGCAAATATAGCATATCATATTTTGTGGCATGCAGCTAAAACAGTGCTGAAAGGGAAATTTCCCCCAAGCTTTGTGGAGATTGACATATAACATTGTGTTAGTTAGTGTACAATGTGTTGATTTAATACTCCTATATATTGTAAAATGATTGCCACCATAGCATTACATAACATGATCATGTCACAGTCACATTGCTATCAGAGGAGTACATGAATGGGATTCCTCCATTGCTGGTGGGATTCTTGGGGCGCCGCTGAAATGAGCGCTTTCAGAATTCCCTGTGGGAGAATGAGGTAGAAGACTTTATTTGTTTAGAGAAATATTTCTCAGTTTCCAGTGTCCTATTTCCCTTAAATCAGTCCTAAAAGAGGAGCAGCTGTGGGTTCAGCAACGCCATGTCCAGAGCTTCCTTTCCATGTTGCAGCTGGGTCCATTCAACATTCAGGCTAATTAAAGTCCATTAGGCCATTCTGTGGATGAACAGGGGTCAGGGGCAAGCAGCAAGGGAGAGGCCAAGAGCCAAAAGGAGAGAACTCTCTTTGTTCAGAAGTTTAAATATTCAGTTTCGAGCCCTTGCAGTGGCCATGCCTATTCTGGCCAATTACTTGTTCCCAGGATGATTGACAGACAGGTAAGCACCTTCCCATGTCACTCAGACCTTATTGGGCATGTGTCTAACTGCCTTTGTCCAGTCCCTTTCCCCAGCAATCACCTGGGAACACTCACTTGCAGAGTGATAAATTAGCAAAGCTGTATAAATGGAATGCTATATTATCTCGTCCTCCCTTTACTCCTTTCCTGTTACTAACAGCCAGGTTATTACAACAGTATCAACATCATTACCATTTCTTTTTTGTGGTGAGAACATTTAGGTCTACTCTCTTGGCAACTTTCAAGTGCATAACACAGTATTGACTGTTATCACCGTCCTGTGCATTAGATCCCCAGAACTTACTTATCTTCTAACTGGAAGTTTGTACCCTTTGACCAACTGCTCCCCATTTCCCTCACCACTCAGCCCTGGAAACCACCACTCTGCCTGAGAGGGAAATTAATAGCACTAAATGCTTTCATTAGCAAAGAGAAAAAGTTGAACAATAATCTAAGCACCCACCTCAAGAAGCTAGAGAGAGAGCAAAGCAAACTGAAAGCAAGCAGAAGGAAGGCAACAGTGAAGATAAGATCAAATCGATGAAATTCAAGATAGAAAAACAATAAAATTAGTTCTTTGGGAAGATCAATAGAATTAACAAGCCTCTAGCAAGACTGACAAAGAAAGGGAGAAAAGCGACAAACTACTATCATATAGACTCTGCAGACTTCAAAAGGATAGTAAGGAAATTCTAGGAACAACTCCACATGCATCAATTTGACAACTTAGATGAAATGGACCAACTCCTCAAAAAGGACAAACTCCACAACTCACCCAATATAAAATAAATGATTTGAATAGCCCTACAATGATTAAGGAAATTTAGCTCATAATTTTAAAACTCCCCCAAAATAAACCTCCAGACTCAGATGGTTTCACTTGAGAATGCTACCAAATATTTGAAGAAGGTTTAGCATCAGTTCTACACAATTTCTTCCAGCAAATGGACAACATAGGAACACTTTACAATTCACTTTCCAGCTTAGCTTCTCATGCCCTGATCCCAAAACCAGGCTAAGACAGCACAAAAAAGAAAACTACAGACCACATTCCTCATGAATATAGATGCAAAAATACTTAACAAAATATTATCAAATAGATTTCAGCCATAAATAAAAATCTCTCACCCTAGCTGGTTTGGCTCAGCAGATAGAGCAACTGCCTGCGGACTGAAAGGTCCTTGGTTCAATTCCAGTTAAGGGCACATGCCCGGGTTGTGAGCTCGATCCCCAGTAGGGGGTGTGCAGGAGGCAACCGATCAATGATTCTCTCTCATCATTGATGTTTCTATCTCTCCCTCTCCCTTCCTCTCTGAAATAAATTAACACATAATAAATTAATTAATTTAAAAAAAACAAGTGTCTTAAAAAAAAAATCTCTCCATGACTAAGTGGTGTTTATTCCAAGGGTGTATGACTCTTTCAGTATTTGAAAATCCATAAAAGAAAAGAAAAATAAATTGGACTTCATCAAAATTAAAAACTTTTGCCCTCTGAAAGATTCTGTTAACAGGATAAAAAGATAAGCAATAGACTAGAAGAAAATATTTATAAATTTCATATATGACAAAGGATTTATACCTAGAATATATGTATAAAGATTCTCAGAATTTAACAGTAAAGGAACCAAATAATCCCACTAGAAAATGGGCAAAAGACATGGAGAGAAATTTCACTGAAGAGGACATACCCATGAAAAGATGTTCCATATCACTAGACATGAAGGGAGTGCAAATTAAGACATGATGAGATATTACTGCACATATTTTAGATAGCTAAAATTAAAAATATTGACAATGCCTAATGCTGGCAAGTATGCAAAGAAACTAGATCTCTTCGACATTGCTAGTAGGAATGTATAATGCCAGGCAGTCTTTAAAATCGTTTGACAGTTTCTTTAAAATATTGAAAATACATTTGTCATGCAACCCAGCAGTTGCATCCCTGGGCATTTATCCCAGAAAAATGAGAATGCGTGTCCATACAAAGATGTGTACATTGTCATTCATAGAAACTTGGGTATAGTCCAAAACTGAAAATAACCAAGATGTTTGTTGACAGGTTTATGGCTAAACAAACTGGTATGTCCGTACTATGGAATATTACTCAGCAGTAAAAAGGAAGAGACTAATGACGTACTCAGTTGCTTCGATGCATCTCAGGGGCATCGTGCTGAGTGGAAAAAGCCCCTGTCAAAAGATCACATACTGTATGATTCCATTTCTGTGCTCTTCTTGAAATGTTAAAATCACAGAGAAGGAAGGCAGATTAGTGGTTGACAAGAGTTAGAGGTGGTGGGCGAAGGGAAGTATGTGAGACTGTGAAGAGGCAGCATGAGGGGGATCTTTGTGAGGATGGAATAGTGCTGTGTGATGATTGCGGTGTGGTTATATGAATCTATAATTGTGATAAAATGATATACAACTATACACATACATCCCAATGTCAGTTTGCCATTGGGGGAAGTTGGGGGAAGGGTACACAGGCTCCCTCTTGACTATCTTGGTGGCTTTCTCTGCATCTATAATTATTTCAAAATTAGAAGTTAACAAAAACAAATTTAAAAGAAGAAGAATTTAAATATATTTTCATGATTTCAAAATAAAAAGAAGAATTTAAATATATTTTCATGATTTCAGAATAATAATATCATGAATGGCATTTGGCACTTTGGGTATAAAAAAATAATAAAACTGCTTACATTCTGGAAAAAAATAACACTAAAAACACTATTTTGAGACTGTACAGTCTATGTCAGACTGCCAAAGGGGTCCATGATACAAAAAATTTTTTTTTGACTTTTTTCTAAATTAAGAATAAAGCTGTTAAATTCTCAAACTGAAGAAGACTTCTTTTCTTCGTGTAGACACCTGCATGGATCTAAACATGCATTTACAGACGGGGCTATTCATCTTTGCCAATGTGGCCCTGTGCAATGCACGTGAGAACCCACAGTGCACTGGTTAAACCTAGTAGCACTCAGATGCCTCTGAGGACAGCAGTGGTCAGCAATTTAAATCTGTTATATGTATCTACTTCTCAGAAAAAGGGTTGAGACTATAAACGTAACACTAAATACTTTCATTTCTGAAATATATTTGTTGTGCTTAATCATCCCAGTGGGCATCTACATTTGAAAGAGGCCTTCTATGTCTGATGGTAAGCCAGAAACCAACAGGGAACCAAGTCACAAAGCACTTCTGTGTAGGACCACATATGATGAGCTGTGTTGTGACCCTCGTAGCACCTGCCTGGTTACACTGCCTTTCAGAACATCTGATGGGCCAAACACAATGGCCCAAAGAAACCAGACTGGGCCTTGCAAAGAAGTGTTCCTGATCCTTTTATGTCATCATAGCAGAAGCTTACAGAACAAAAGACCACCTCCTATCCAAATGTACATGTTGAACCATGTACATGTTGATTTATTATAACTTACTCCTTTCTGAAAAGAAAAAGAATAATCTCTATTTCTCATCGCATATTATGACTCAGGACCATTCTTATGTGATCGAGTGGCTTATTTTTCTCACTTATGATTGTGGATAAAAGAGGGATGTAAGGCTAGAAGGGGGAAATGTGAGGGTTTGAGTGAGAAGTAAGACTGATTCATTTTTTAAGCACCATCCAGGGCAGTGGTCGCCAACCTTTGGACCTCACGGACCACCAGTGGTCCACGGACCACCGGTTGGCGACCGCTGATCCAGGGCATTCCCCTCCAATCTGTAAGAACATAAGTATGATCTGGTGGCCAATGGCATGTTCTTTGTCAGTGACTCTCAGTGTGAGGAGAAAAAGCAAGGTAAGTGGAGGGTGGGGAGGTATTATATATTTGATAGCGACCTAAACAAACCTAGATACACATGCTTTTACAAACATTAGTAAACTCCTATTTCTCATCATATTACTATAACTTTTCCTGTAACACTCTGTCCTTTTTTGACAGGTTTTTGATGGAAGTGGATCATTTCTGTCCTACATTAACACATCCGCTGACCCGCTCTATGGTCCCCAAGGCCTGGCCCTGACTTCAGATGGCCATGTTGTGGTTGCAGACTCTGGGAACCACTGTTTCAAGGTCTACCGGTACTTACAGTAACGGCGGGCAGCTGGACGGCCCCTGGCAAAGGTCTTGCACTATAAACTGGAACGGATTTCTCGCCGCGGGACCAGATTATACTAGACTTTTCATGCTAGAAGGAATCATTGGTGAATTTTCCAAGGTTATTTCTGAATGTAACAATTTCCTTAAAAACTGCATATTTGATTTCTGTAATTGACCTTTAGGGTTAAAAAGAATCTATAAAAACCGCAAAGTTTTACACCTGTGAACTATGGCTTATAGGACAGGGATGTATGTAGTGAAACCAATTGTGCAAATCAAATAAGCGTTAAAAAAAAAATACCTGGGAGATTTAAAGGTATTTGTTAAGCCTGTGAACGGTAGCCTTTGCACAGAGCTTCCAAAAACAAAACAGAACAAAACAAAAACAAAATCTGTTGTGGTTATATACTTTAACCTCGGTCACAAGGCCTGGGGAATCTTCTAACCTCACTTTTACACTTGGTATTACTCTTGTGACTTTTTTGGCTATCAGTAACTATATATAAATTACTTTAGAGGAAAAAAAAAAGACCGTCTTGCAAAAATCCTCTCATCTGTGATTAGCAGGCCTCTGAGTTGAGCACTTAAAAATAAATGCGAACTTTCTATCCTTCCTGGGTTAGATCAAAGATCCATTTTTGGGTTCTTTTCACCTTCTCTCTCCTAGTCACCTTGTATTGAAAAACAAAGTACATTTTTTCAGGGAAACCTGAAACTCCTAATGCTTTGAAAAGCATATTCTAATAGTAATGCTACCTGTTGGTAAACCAACAGCCCAACTCCAGATCAATGCACTGGATGTCATCAAGAAAAAGTTAGTCATGTTTTATGTGCCATGTTCTCACATGTGTCTCTCCTCTTCCACTTCATGAAAGCGAAAGCTTTACCTCCTGCAAAATGTCAGCACATGTAGTAGGACACCAGTATCCTAGGACAGAGAGCCATAAGTAGCCCCTCGGAGGACGGATGGTGTCAGCCAAAGGCATGTGACTGAGTAATGGTTTCCCCTTAGAAAGCAAGTGTTACCAAAGTTGTGAAAGCGTTACAGGTAAGGGCATGTTATGGTTATTTATCATTGTCTAATGAATAGTAGAGGCATTAAAGGACTATGTATACATGATTAGGGTAAGGTAGAATGTATCATATATATCTATATAGATAGCTGAATCTTTGGTGTATTGAAATAGGCAGCCCTCTGAAAGACAGAAGCAGCGTCCAGCCTTTCTTCGGCACATTCCTTTTACGGAGCAGCTTCAAGCCGTCCTGTCCTAGTAGAACAAGCCCTAAAGCAGATTTAATCTTTGCCATTTTCCAGGAATGATGGTATCGGCTGACGTTGCATCACAAAATGACCTTCTGGTCTTTCAAAAGAAACAAAAACAGGTCAAAAGAGAAAAGTTAAACTTGAATTACATTTAAACGAAGTATAAATGCATTTTAAGAAAAAGTAAGAATAATTTAGCTGGTTATTAATCTGTCATTGGTACTGTAAAATAAGATGTGGTTTATTTTCACTGTTTAATTTTCTACTCAGTTCTACCAAATAGGATGTCATGTTTGGCATTTTCGTTAATGACTTTGGGATCTTTTTCACTGAAAGCACCTTAGAACTGTACTATAAGAAAACATTTCCCATATGTATAATTATATGAATGTGATGTTTATTGCTTTTTAATTTATAATTCAGCCCCTCTCTTATATAGGAATTTTTTTAAATTTAGAAGGGAAATCTAGCTACTTCCAATTGTCTATCAAATTTATGCCCAAATCAACCTCTGAAAAAAATTTTTTTCAGAAAGATTTACATTTAGATTTAGTACATCTTTAGTTAGGTAGAGTTTTCAAAATATTGAGGTTGTGATAAAATTATAAAATTTAGTAACATTTTTAGAATGTTAAGACACTGTTTCCTAACATGAGTTGAAATAAGTCTTTGAATTTAAATATTCATATTTAATGAGTGCCTACTAGAAGCCAGGCTGTTCTTGGCACTGGGGACTTAGTGATGGAGGAAACAGACAAAATTCCTGCCCCCTTGGAATTTACACTCTAAGGAGGGAATTTCATTTTGCTCTTTATTAATATTCTGCATAAAAGATAAGCTAGACTTCTGATAGCTCCTAGACTATTTAAAAGAAACCTTTTAAAAATTGGTTAAATTCATTTTAGTTTATTTCCACAAGTAAAAAATGGCTTCCTATTTAGATTCTGTCACAGGCTATTGATATTAAGACTAGTTTACTTAAAGATTGGTTTGTTTTGGGTTTTTTTGCACAACACTTAAATTATATGTGTGAATTTAGAAATTGAGCAGCTATCATACAGTATAATGCTGGATATCTCAATTAGTAGATTGAAGACAAAGCTAATTTTTTTTTTTTTACATATGACTATTGGCACAAACTGGAATGGAAGAAAAGGTACTTTGATTCAGACCTGTTTATCTGTTACTAAAACACATGCACTCCAGGAAACACTATATTTCCCCCCCCCCCAAAAAAAGAATATGTAATCCTATAGTTAAAATATAAATAACATTTCATATTTGGATATATATGTGCATTTACTGTATTTCTTGGTAAGCATATTTTAGGGGGCAAAGTGCTGCTAAGATACAAATAGACAAGATTTAAGTGAAATTTTGTCACATTCTGTGGAAAATGGTTTCTGGTAAACTGAGAAGGAAATTTAAAAGTTAAGTGACTTTCTTCTGGGCTACCATTATCGC